TCAAAGTAAAAGATAAGAGGGTTGAAAAAAAAAATTTCCTGAATATAAGAGGGTCGAAATTTTTTTAAAATATTGTGAAAGTAATTTGTCACAATTTAAAAAGTAAATAAAAAAAATTAAATAACCCATCCTAATAAAGATATAGAAACAAGAACCTTATTAAGAAGGTAGGATAAGAAGTTAGGATAAAAAAAAAGAATTAAATTGAAAAATGAATAATGAACAAAGCAGTATCAATTAATTACTCAACTGAGAGTGATAGATAGATAATTGTTACGACAAACACAGAGAATCACAGCAGAAAATAAACACGCCACACACAAAGAACACAAAGATTTAGCGTGGTTTGGCAAAGCCTATATCTATGATGGAGATCTAGCGAAAGTTTTCACTATGCAAAAAATAGGAGATTACAAGTTTCAGCCCCTCACTCTCTTTCTCGGCGATTTTCAGTGTCTCAATCTATCCCACTCCAAACCCTAAGCACCCTTATATATTAGGCTACAAGAGAGTACTAATTAGGGTCCACGACCACAAGCAAAATCAAGTCAAAATTTTTCCCCGGGGACAAGCCCCCGAACCCATCCAACCAAATTCGGGCCACAACATCACAATAATGACAATGATGATATAAGTGTCAATCTATCTCATCAAGGGGTCCAAGATTAATGCCTACTGGGTTTTAATGGAAGTTTAAAATTAATTAAACTTGTATTAATAATTTATCCTCTTTACCCTCGCAACAGTAAGTGCATTAACAATCCCTTTAATACACTTTGCCCGCTTTAATAATTATTAAAGGATGCTAATCAAAGACCAAGGGCTCACTCCTTTGGCAAGCAAATATCATCACAATTCATATATTCATTTCCAGACACTTCAATGAGGGTTGAAAATAACTCTTCCATTTCAAGACACTTCAACAGTAAGTTGTTGATTGGTTAAACAAAAGTTTTGATCAAGCTTTTTACAATGGTGGACTTATTGTCATGTCTTTGAGATGATTTCAAATCCCTTGTGTCATATTACAAACTTTTTTTTGTTAATTTTCATGAATTATTTATGATGTCAGTATCCCCCATTGTTAGTCAAACAATGAACACAATTAGTTGAATGGCTTGTTTCCTAAAGTTAGGTGAACTGTGCCAGTTTACCCTGTGAAGGTGCATTATAGAACACTCTCCTAGTTAAACTGTTTGCCTAACAAGACAATTTTCAATCTAGTTCGATTGGAAAACTCATTTTGTTCAAATATAGGCTGCCAAAGGGAAGTCCTGGGAGATCTGTTTGAGACATAGTTAAGCATGAACCATGGAAATAATATATATATGTATAATACAATAAGAGATATAGCCATAGAGTTAAGGATGTTAAGTCAAGAATGTAGACCTTAAAATTACCATCAAAAGCTAATTTCAAATAACAGATTAAATCTATCTACTCATGGTGCTAAAAAGATGAAATGTAAAAAGGAAACTATATGCTTTTCCCTCTGAAAAAATATCAATCATGATTCATTTTTTACTTTTCCGTTATGTTCCTTTTCACCTTAAACTTGTACTTTTTGTGGAAAATATTAACTAAACAATATGGAAAATATTTGCTTCAGGTGCTTAACTAAAATTTTCCAAGGTGAAATTAATTCAGTCTGTGCTTTAGCATCTCAGTAAATTTGAATAGTCTTGAATACAAAATCCATGACTATGGTATAGAATCATTCTTAGATTTTCTTCAGATGTGATTCTTCCAATTATTCATCACCTATATTTGTTAAGAATGATTTCATTTAAGATGAAGAATTCTTGTATCAAATGTTAAAAGTGACCCAAATTCATCAAAAGAACAAGGATGTTCATATGTGCTGCTAATGATGTTGTCGGTGTGGAGGTGTGAGCTGCTGTCAGTTTTAAGGTAATATTGCCAAGAAGGGGTAACAGAAAAAATGAGGAAGAAGAAAAGGGGAAGACCTTCAAAAGAATTCACTTATAAAACATAAAACCATATTAAAAGCATCATTTTAATACACAATTATAATCCATATGATTAAAGAGAATAATATCAAAGTTATTGTAGCACAGTAAAAAAGTTCTGGCAGGACATTCAAAAGAAAGGGACAAGTTTATTGTAGATTCTTCTCTCTAACAATAATAATAAATAAATAAAATAAAATAAAAAGTCAGAATAGAAATTGCAATATAAAAAAATTTTAAAAAAAATTTAAAAAAAAAAGGAAAAAAGAAGAAGCTGCAGTTCTTTTAAGGGTGTGAAATTGTGAATTGCAACTAACTTCCTACCAGCCAGCAGAACTAAACCAATTATATAAAGGACAATAGTTTATTAACGCAACCCTGAAAGAGAGGTTCTGGTAGTCACTTTAAGGGTCAAATGTTTTTTTAATATAATCTCATGATAGGCCCTCCCATGTCAATTTTTTTCACTTGGTTAAGGAATCTCCATAAGATCCAAATTTTCCCCATATATTTATAGGAAATGACTAACACGGCTTCTATGACAAATTTTAGTCTAAAATATAGATGTAACAAGCAAATCTACAATGACATTAGTGCAGTGAAATACAAGACAGCGCCTATATGCACCCACTCAAGCCTATCAGAGATTTTGTCATGCATAAAATAATTTTCTCACAACCAGAATTTGAGGTAAAACACAATGAAGTATTTTCTGTGTCCAAAATTAAACCATGTTCCATATTAACATGTCTGCAACTATGCAATTATTAGAGGCAAAAGTCTAGGCACTTCGAGGAAAACACAAGTCCAAGTTCAAATGCACTGAACAACAAAGAAGAAGAACCGAATCACTCTCTCTAAAAAGCACCAAAAACCACAGCATAAAAATCATTGCAAGCAATCAAACCAGCAAAAGCATATAAACAGAAAATCAATCATAATTTCATCATGAAAAATGATAGATACGTAAATACTAACCTCAAAGCAACACTAGAACAGTTTTGGATATACAAAAATGATGAAGGAAGATCTTCACAGTTGAAGAGTAACTGAAGAGCAAAGTTGAGATACAGATGATTCTCTGCAAAGCAACAAATGCATAGTTTGGATTTAAAGAAGAAGACCAAAAGAGGGGCAAAAATCAGTAGACAGAGAAATTGATATACACTTTGCTACTAGTAATGATCTTCGTCTTCAACTGCACGATTGAGCTACGGTTCCAAAATAATGATCAATGAGCTAGGGATTGAAGGCTGATCAAGATAGAAAAGCTAGGGTTAGAGATTGACAGTCTAGGGAGCTGGATTGAGATGGAACGATGGAGTGGAGTGAGCCATCAATAGAGATCGAGAGGTTGGGGTCGAGTGAGCGCTTGGGAGAGAGAGAGACAGAGAGGTGTTGTGTTGGGTTGGTTTTGGGATGTAAAATCCGTGGTTCGATCATGGTATTGAAATTGTTGATTTGGTGTGTTTGAGATTTTAATGTAATCCCAAACCCATGTTAGTTTATACTTTTTAGTATCCAAGCGCAGAATTTGGAATTGAAGCATCCAATTCCAATTCCAAAGGTCCAAAACGGCAAGCCAAACATACCCTTAGGTTTTTTGCTTAAATGAAATGCTTCATTGAACTTAACAGTTTGAGTCTTTTGTCTAAATGAAATGCTGCATGGAACTATTCAGGTATTGAGAGTAAAGTTGAAGAAGTTTGGAACTATAATTAGTATCCAGAAATATTTATCACAGATAAAAAAATTGAATAGAAGATACTTACTGTTAAATATTTCAAGAAACACAAGCCTGGTGCAGGGTTGTTTCATTTAAGTAGATGAGGTCCCAATTTATAGATAGACAGGACCATAAATAATTTCAGTAGTATTCTACAACCGATACATTGACTGGTTGAGATGATTCAGACAAGGTCTTTTTAATCTCTCAGTTAAATTAGGTTTCCAGTAAGCTAGTTTGGCCGTTTTCCCTTTCAAAATTCTGATGTGGGATAGATTTTTGGAGGAGTTCAACTTGGAAAACTTCACAAAACGCTCTGACTAATGATTTGTGAGTAATATCAATTAGTTGGCAATCATCATGACATTGTATTTCCATTCTTCCGCATCCATCAAGTGACACAGATTCCATCAATAATCCCTTTATGCTTCCAACAAGACGATTCCTTATTCCACATGGAACTATTCTTTGAAAAGGAGTTAGATCTGAGGTGACATTCAATGCTAAGCCATGATATGCTACCCACTATGATACTAGTCCCCCAATAGCTGCTAATTTCTGATCTCCTGAAGCAATTCAATCTTTTAGGCTGCTATTGTTTTTCTTAGCAAAATAAAAACAGGAAAAGAAAAAATCAATAATATTGAATGCAGTTCAGGAAAAAGAAAACATTGAATACAAAGTAGTATTAGAGTAATAATGATAATATGCTATCATGATCAAAGATATTCATAACAAAGATTAAGTATGCAGCCCATCTGACTTGTCGAAACAACTTGCATGGAAACAAGAAATTAACATATAAGATCATCTTTAGACATCCTGCGGGATCATTGAATTGTCAAATAAGTACGCACTTAAAGTAATAGGTGTTTGCTGGAGTCATTTCTTAGTTGTACACACTTGTGGTACCAGTCTGGTGCTGACCAAATTTGAAGTAGCTGTATAACCATATATGCAAACAGTGTGTGCATTTTGGCACCAAACTGGGACCCTTAGATCATTGATCCACACAGTTCAAATTGATGAGGCATAACCAAAATTAAACCATGTTCCATATTAACATGCCTGCAACTATGCAATTATTAGAGGCAAAAGTCAAGGCACTTAGAGAATAACACAATTCCAAGTTCAAATGCACTGAACAACAAAAAATAAGAACAGATAACAGTAATCACTCTCTCTAAAAAGCACAAAAAAACCACAACATAAAATCATTGCAAGCAACCAAACCAGCAAAATCATATAACCAGAAAATCAATCAAAATTTCATCATGAAATATGATAGATACATAAATACTAACCTCAAAACAACACTAGAATAGTTTTGGATATACAAAAATGATGAAGGAAGACCTTCACAGTTGAAGAGTAACTCAAGAGAAAAGTTGAGATACAAATGATTCTCTACAAAGCAACAAATGCATAGTTAGGGTTTAAAGAAGATGGAGACCAAGAGAGGGAAAAAATCAGTAGAGAGAGAAATTGACATACATTTTGCTCCAAAACGGTGCTGTCAAACATACCCTTAGGTCTTTTGCTTAAATGAAATGCTTCATTGAACTTAACAGTTGAAGTCTTTTGTCTAAATGAAATGATGCATGGAACTACACAGGTATTGAGAGTAATGTTGAACAAATTTGGAACTACAATTAGTATCCTGAAATATCTATCAGACAGAAAATAGAATACAGGGTAAGTATCTAAATAATTCAAGAAACACAAGCCTGCTGCAACGTTGTTTCATTTAAGTAGATGAGGTCCCAATTTATAGATATAGAAGACCATAAAGAATTTCAATAATATTCTACAACAGATAGTTTGACTGGTTGAGATGATTCAGACAAGCTCTTTTTAATCTGAGTGTTAAATTAGGTTCCCAGTACGCTAGGTTGGCCGTTTCCCCTTTCAAAATTCAGATATGAGATAGATTTTTGGAGGAGTTCAACTTGGAAAACTTCAAAAAACGCTCTGACTAATGATTTCTGAGTAATATCAATTAGTTGGCAATCATTATGATATTATATGTCCGTTCTTCTGCATCCATCAAGTGACAAAGATTCCATCAATAACCCCTTTATGCTTCCAACACGGCGATTCCTTATTCCACATGGAACTATTCTTTGAAAAGGAGTTAGATATGAGGTGACATTCAATGCTAAGCCATGATATGCTACCCACTGTGATACTCGTATCCCAATAGCTGCTAATTTCTGATCTCCGGAAGCAATCCAATCTTTTAGGATGCTATTGTTTTTCTTAGAAAAATAAAAACAGGAAAAGAAGAAATAAATAATGTTGAATACAGTTCAGGAAAAAGAAAATGTTGAATACAAAGTACTATTAGAGTAATAATGATAATATGCTATTATTATCAAAGATATTCATAAGAAAGATGAAGTATGCAGCCCATCTGACTTTCAAAAGAACTTGCATGGAATCAAGAAATTAACATAAAAGATCATCTTTAGATGTCCTGCAGGATCATTGAATTGTTAAATAAGTATGCACTTAAAGTAATAGGTGTTTGCTGGAGTCATTTCTTAGTTGTACATGCTTGTGGTACCAGTCTGGATTTTTTTTTTTTTTTTTTTTTTTTTTTTTTTTTTTTTTGATAATTAATCAATTTATTCAAAAAAGAGAAAGATACAAGCTAAGAGGGGCCTCCCCCAATCAAACCAAACAAGCAAACAACAGGGCTAGAAAGAAGCAAACAAGCTTGGAAAACAAAGAAAGCTTCACCAATTCCAGAAGGGCAGTAAGCCAGCAGAATTGCTACTAACCATATATATGCAAACAATGTGTGCATTTTCGCACCAAACTGGGATGCTTAGATCATTGATCCACACAGTTCAAATTGATGAGGCATAAATCAAAATAATCAAATGTCAAGTTGACAATGTAACTTCTACCATGCATTATTTTTGTCCTACAAGTTACGAAAGGAAAAGAATAAACTAAAATTTATAAAATTGATTAATTATCAAAAAAATACAATAAAGTCGGTTGACCTGATAGTCAATTGCTTCACATACTCAACCAGTTTTTTAGTATAATCCAGCATACCCACGAAATGAGACTATAAATCAACACACTGAAAATGTTAACTTGAATGGATTCTAAGTACCGCTTTCACTTAGACTGGATTCTATGAAGATAAGCTCTTCTAAATTTTGATCTTTGTCATACATTCATATCAGCATTTTGTCTTTTGGGCAAGCTTACATACTAATTTCATTAGCATTCATCACCATTCATATTAAGGCTAGGAATTTTACATCTCATGTAGATAGTACTTTAGGGTGTGAAAATTTCCATCTAAGTCTCTACTCCATTACAATTTCATTCCTTCTATTTGCCACCTATTAATGTGGCTTTGAAGAAGATGCTTCAGGGTATACAAGCAAACGCTAATGTTTCTAAATAATCATCCTTTAAAACCCATTAAACTGATTACATAAAACAAAAAATGATGAGATAAATATCCATATCAACTATTAAAATTCTACAAATCAAAAAGATAATTAATGAAAGGTGTTAAAAAAAAAAAAAAAAAAAAAAAGCATAACAATTACCTGCCCTGGTCCATGATATGTCACTTCCCCGCCACGTTCGGTTCGATGCACATCGAAAGGAACGTCCTTTATGTCAAAATTCAAGAACTCTTCTGAACTACCGGTACCCAATGTATAAACAGGTTGGTGTTGTAGAATGATCAAAGTCTCAGACCAATCTTCGTTCCCTTCAATCAATGCCTTCCTCTCTTTGACAATGGACTTTTGCCAAGACCATGCTTCCCCATATGGAGTGAGCTCTTTATACAGATCAAAACACTCACACCTGTAACAAGAGCTGATCAAGCATTACAGTGCACAGAAGATGTTTGTTAAATTGTTAAAAAGCATGACATAGCGATTTTTACCTTCTTTTTCCTTTGTGGGTCATAGAGGTGGCCTCTGGTGTTTTGATATCAGGCCGAGACCAATTTGATCTCTTTCAATGCTTTTGAAATAGAAATGTTGGGATTGACCCCAAATTGGGACTCGCCACAACAATCATGTGTATAATATTATTTATATATAATACTTATAATTCGAGAGACCAATTATTGAAGAATTAGCAGAGAACGTTGGTCATTGTCTCACAGCAAGATTCTTTATTTCTTCTCAATAATTCTTTCAAATTACTTACTCCTCTTCGTTGTACGATCTTACAGTACATATTGCCGATGAGTTAGAAAATTCTTCCACTATAATTCTTCTATTAAATCACAGACCTCACTGATTCATAAAAGTACCCACTAGGAAAACAAAAAGTCTATCAAACATGATCTTACATTTTAATGTAAATTTGTTCGACCAAAAGACACTCCGGAAATTACTTCTGTACTCAATTTCTCCTAAATGGTTGGCACAATTCAAATTGAGGGCGGCATACGGATCAAGAATGTAATGCATCCCAAAACTTTCGTTCTCTACATTGAAGATACCAATGTCGTGGCGCCCATGTAGGGGATGTAATTTAAAATCAATATAATCATCAGTGTAGTATATGGAATTGGGTTGGCACCCAGGCCATTTAGAAGCTGAAACACATATTGAACGGTTATCTCCCAACAGGGTGTCTCCACCCAAGCTCTTCACTTCAACCTGCTCAGGCCAACTCTTTTCATTAATTTTCTGTAAAAGCACCTTGAAAACCAGAAAATCATCAGTTGTATGCTGGAAATCATCGTCTACGTCATAATCTACAAACCTTTGCACAAGAAATAAATCCCCACTAGATGATTCGACAAGATACATCTGATCAGAGACATCACTCTGCGATATCTGCGGTACTATTCCCTTCACTTGGGGAGCCTACTCTCCCCGACCCTTCTATTAAGATCAACCATTATGATTCCACTCCAATCATTAACTGCAAAAATCTGACCTTTATAAAATATTACATCAAAGATGAGTCTAAATCTCTCTCTATCTATGTAAGTCCAAGCTTTGTCTCTTGGTTGAATGAATGCCAGTCTTTTGTTACCACCATCTATTGCACTGATAATATAGTCATTAGGAGACGAAACAGGGTCTGCAAATAATGTAGCCTTCATAATTTCAAACTCAACCTCAAGACGCTGATGAGGTCCGTATTTTGAGCGGTCTATAATCGAAGGAAGCTCAATGGTGGCGCCAGAGAATGAGTTAATTAGGATTAAGCCGAAGGATTCTTTTACCCTAAAAACCAACCATGTGAGGAACCAAAAAACCTCTTTTTGTAAGGTACTTGTAACTGAAAATCATATAATTTATTATGAGTGATACTGTAGAGGCTACATCTTTCCTCACTATTATCTTCGGTAGGAACCATCAAGAATGGAACTTGTCTGCAACATTTATTTTTAAAAAATTCAACTTGCTTCTCCATTGCCACAGAGTACCATGGTTTGCAAACAGCACCAACGCGAACATAGTCAGAAAGCGAAACCAACTTGTACATAATCATATCCAATAGGTGCTTCGGAAGCCATGCCCAATCTGACTGTGTCACCGATAATGAGACCATATCCAGAACCAACACCACTGCCATGTAAATAAATCAAAGAATCGAAAAAATTTAATCTTAAACTAATGATTAAAAAAAAAACAAAAGAAAACACAAATTGAAAGCTATAGCACTTAAATCTGTTGTTATTTATTTATATAATTAAAAATGCATGAATTTATTCGAGCACATGAAAACATGATAGAATAATCGTAATTAATTCAGTTAATATATACTTGTCTATGAATATGAATAACCACGACAACTCACCTGAAGAGTCTACAATAATGTTTGGCGATGTAAACCAAGAGAGAACAGTGATGAGTAATCAAACCAAAATTGAAGTGAACAAAGTGAGATATTATGATATATAGGTGATAATTCTAACAAGGTCGAGTCGAGGGTTTTATTTCCTCGTCTCGACAGTCACTGAACGTTTTATAGGAATAGATATATACTTGATATATATATAGGAACAAAATTACAAATACATGCACTTTTTAAATTTAATTTACAAACACATGAAAGCTTAAGAAAAACTTTCAATTTTTTTTTATTTTAAAAATGACTCTTTATTTTCTAACTCATTTTCCCAATAAAATTTTTAAAACTCAGAAAAGACTCATGTCTTTTTTGAATTCATCATCACGTAGATTTTTTAAGAATCAAAATTCTAAAATGACCTCTCATCTGTTGGTTAAATTTTTTTATAAATACCTCTCATTTGTTATTAATTTATTTTCATATTATTATTAATGGTTATCCCTTATACACTAAATTTATGACTCTCTCACTCGCATGATAGGGTGAAATCACTCCATGTGAAACGAGGTTGACGTTTTTTGCGAGAATCACAACCGACATGAAATGATATGCTATGCGCAAAACATTTTGTGGCACATGATAAAATCATCTTTCAAGAAATAGACATAGATGCTGTATAGTATTATCTGGTCACAAAAATTAAAATAGAATAAGATGTTTTCCCATATAAATGAAGTCCTATATTCCAAATCTCGAAAATCACAGCCGTCCAACAATTGTCTCAACTCTTTTGTTTATTTTTTTTTCCTGTCCAACAAACAAAAAAATACAATTGGATACAATTGTCTCAACTCACTTATCTCCAAATTTGCTTTGGAGTACCTCCCTTAGTTTTTTGAAAGGATGCACCATGTCATTAAAATTCCCAACTATTATCCACTTATCACCCATTTTAGTCAACCGAGCATGTCTCAAATTATTCCACTATGTCCCAGGTAAATGCAATGCATTGAGTGGAGAAGCAGCTTCGGCTCCTCCATTTCGAACATGTTTTCGAATCCTCCATCGTTATTGGTCTTTTGTCATGCTTAAGAGTCAAATGCCATGACGGTGATAGGGAGTAATTGCATACGACGGCTCTCGCAATATATCTCAACCTAACGCGGATCCTGTTCAAGTCTTAATTAATTATGAGTCCATCCATAATTACCGACTATGAACAATTTATAATTACTATTTATATATCATGCATTGATTGCCATCACATACATATATATAAATATTTCTTGTAATTACATGGACACTATCAATTTCATAGTGAATCGAAATATAATACATTAAATTCACCAATTGTATAAAACATAAATATTTCAGAAACGTCAGGAACATATGTCAATTAATCCAAACAGGAATTTGCTATGCCAGGGCATATAAATCCCAACAGTACCTCCCTTAGGTTTTTTGAAAGGATGCACCATGTCATTAAAATTCCCAACTATTATCCACTTATCACCCATTTTAGTCAACCGAGCATGTCTCAAATTATTCCACTATGTCCCAGGTAAATGCAATGCATTGAGTGGAGAAGCAGCTTCGGCTCCTCCATTTCGAACATGTTTTCGAATCCTCCATCGTCTAGATTCACGAGTTTAATTAATGAACATGGTTGCAAAACGTGGCTCAATTAACTTATGATTGATGAATCTCATGGTAACAAGCCCTCAGTAATTACTTAAAAAAAAAAAAAACCAAGCCCTCCATAAGAAATGCCAAGTGCATACATCTCTTAGCACCATCAAAATAATTTGTGACTTCATCCAAACAAGCATTTAGCAAACAACATTTATTGCATAATAAAACAGAGCTTAACCAATCTTGAATTAGCACGGCACAAAGAGGCCTGCATTAGGCGGTTGGTAACCAATTCATAAAATGAGACCCACGTACAACTTAGTAACAGTAAACCGAATACAAACGCCAATTTTTTTTAAAGTTGATTGTGTTTGGGATTTTATTTATATTTTTCATTAGAAAAAAAAAAAATACTTTTATAAAAATGTTTATGAATACTTCAAAATATGTTTATAAAGACATAACGAAATTCATTAATTATTTTGCATGCATTTTATTATGAGAGAAAAAAAAATTACATAGCCATCGCAACAATATGGAAGGATTATTGACACATCAGTTGAAAGCGAATCACTAAATTTGTAAAATAAAATTTGACTGTAGTTCTCATCTAGTCTATCATATCTAAGTCTGTCACACGAATGACACGTATGAACCATATAGATTATTGGGTAAATTATAATAAACCTCCTTCAACTATACTCAAATGAGAACTAAACCCCCCTAAATTTATAAAGTGGCAGAAAACCCCCAAAACTATTCTGTTTTGTTGCAGATTACCCATTCCAGCAAACTTCCGATCACAATTTACTCACGTGACAAATAATAAATCATCTTATGACCATAATGCCCTTATGAAAATGAAAAGACTCTAATGCCCTCTTCTCACGTCCATAATATATATATATATATATATATATAAATCCATCGATCTTCTCCTCTCTCCCTCCGTGTGTGTGTGTGTGTGTTTTGATTGTGCGTTTATGTAGTTCTTCAATTACTGATTAGAGAACGAAGAATTTTTGGAGGAAGCTTACGCCGGAGAAGAAACAATTGCAGAAGACGGCATGAGATTCGTTGGATACAGCAACAATTGCAGTGGACCATCAGTTTTGATTTCACTCTCTTGAATTTTAAGAAGCAACAATCTTCTTATTTTGCCAACCCAAATGTCAGGTGTTCTCAACATTCTTCCTCTAAATCGAAATTAGAATCCAAATCAGAACTCAAATTGGAATCGAATCACATAAATATGTTTGAAAGGAAAAGCGAAAAAAAAAAATTTGTTTGAAGGTCCACAACACCGTCGTGGATTAAAAAAGAGGTAAACTCCATGAGCAGTAAAATCTTCACAAAAAGCCCAACTCCACAATCACAAACTACGAGGTAGAATTTTTGTTAACTTCCAGGAAACCCCCAAGTTGAAAGGAGAGAAGAGAAGGGCTTTTAAGAAGATGAAGATGATGAAGAAGGAAGAGGCACAGAAGGCTCTGTTGCCTGGAGGATGAGAAGGTATGAATTAGAGTATGAAGTTGTCGGGGAAAGGCGTAAAATCGGCATGGTGTTGACGCCGAGGAATTCAAGAGAGTGGTGAAGGTGATAATTGCCATATGTTTATATTTATCTCATTGGTTTATTGTGATAAGATTGCTTATGTGTCAAAATTTTAGTGGCCCTTTGTATTACACCTCATTGACCTAATTTTATAACTAACTCCTCAATGTTAAACGGCGGTGTATTGTAAGGGGTAAAAAAGTGTTTACAAATTTCATTGTGAACCAGAATAACTTTATCTCTCCTAAAACTAAACAAAAAAACATAGTTGGAGGGGTTATTTGTAATTCGAGAGGGTTAGTTGCACTTAGGTAATAATTAAAGGGGATTTATTGCACTTCACCTTAGATTATACTTCATTTTTTATTGTTCTCCTTTTTGTTTCTAGTTCTATATTCTTTTATTTCTTTTATTTGTCTCACAACTCACTCACACCAAAACTTTGTATACAACTACTCACTCACACTTCTCACAGCAAGTTGATTGCTACTCGTCTCCTATTTATACCAACCTAGGCACCCTTCAACATTCTAAATAAATGTAGAGATAAACAAAAATATTAGAGATCTAGAGAATGAAAACATCTAGTATCTCCTATTTATACCAACTTAGGCCGCTTCAACATTCTAAATAAATGTAGAGATAAATAAAAATACCAGAGATCTCAAGAATGAAAACATTTAGTGGAAGATATTTTTTTAAAAAAAGAGGGAAGAGAATGGTGGGATTGTGGGAACCTTCTACGGAGAGAGATCAGAATAGTGTTGCTGATATGATGTGGAGAGGATGAGCATGTGTTAGTCTTTCGACTCTTTTTTAATTAAATCTTCAAATTCTAGTTTTATTGTTGTGTCTCATTCATTTTTACTTATTTTTGTTTTTTAGTTTCATTTTATTAATTTATTTATTTTGTTAGTTCTTGATTATGTGTCTATTCGAATACAAAATTCAGTGATTATATATATGATAAATATATTTATAAAATCTATAAATTTTATACAATGTTAGATACATAATAAATAATATATATATATTGTTTTTAAAAACGCATAAAGGGCATATGAATGTTTCTCAAAAACTCATAACCGAGGACGGATTTAAAATATAAATCCATCCACGTCCGTGTCTACTTAAACTGTTTTCATATCCGTGCGTTATAGGCAAGGCCCCGACTGACCACAAGTCTTCTTTCCAACCTTTACAATGGCCACAGGTATTCTTTCCAACTGTTAGCCCCAAATGGTTATTTATCATAGGTAAAATAAAAGAAAGTGAGACCTTCCAAATACAAGTGTAAATATGATCAATCAAAATTATCCGGACAATTAACTGTTCTTCAGAGATTTAATTTGGATCAGTTTGTTGTTGGGTTTGACCCAGATGTCCTTTTAACTATTTAGTATTTTTTTATTTTGAGTAAAGTGCAAAAAATCTCTAAATTATATTGAAGTATATTTTGTACATAAACCCCCTAAACTATCATATTTAATTACAAAATGTCTCAATGCCTTGATTATATTTCATTAAATGTCCATAATGTCATTTCTTATTAAATCACACTTAATCTATTTTTCTTATTGAAATAAATTATTACTAATTTGATGACATATTCTTCATTAAATTTACCTTTAATTTTGAAAATTAATTTTTTAAATAAAAATCTAATCTTGTCATAAATTCATTGTCTAAATGTGGTTCACCCGAGTGTGCTTTGAATTTTATTTATTTATTCCATTGAAGTTGGTTCTTCAATAGTGTTTACAAAAATCTACTCATCTCAATGTTGGCAACATTAGAAAATCTACAAGCTTAAAAAAATGATCTAAGCGACGCCATCATGACACGAGTCATCCTTAGTATTTTTTTTATTTAGGGTAAAGTGCAAAATACCCCTTGAACATTTGGCTTCCAAAGCGGTTTGAGCACCCTCTCCAATTGCATGGTCTTGTGTATAGAAAATACACGTCATCCCAGTTTTTCAATGAGATTTTCTTCCTCAGGATGTTCCTACAAATGCTTAATATTACTTCTAAATTACTTTTAAAAGTAATATAACTGCATGATTAGCTATAAAGTGAATCCCATGCTGAGATCACCTTATGCAGCCATAAATCTGTATCAATTTATACCATAATTTCAAAACCATCAGATGCTAAATATATGACATATAATATGAGAAAATATCAGAAAAGGATAAGTTACATAAAATGCTGAATTTGACAGTAAAAAATAAATTTCCTTGCCAAAACCATAAAGTAAGTTCCAATTTAATTGATGGGGACATCAACACTACTATATCTCATATCAGCAATTGTTAGGATGGCCCCAATTTCTGCCTTAGAAATAATTTTGAGTAACAATTGGATTTCCTAACCACAAAATGCAACAAAAAGAAAACCAAAAATATATAGCAAGGCTCATCAGCAACACATCACTAATAAATTGAAGCTAACTGTTCAACAAGAGTAACATATATGCAATCATCAAACACCAAATAAGCAGATATTAGTGCGGATCGCAGTCAATACACCAAACTGGTAACTGCTCATCTGCAAATTTCTTCACCAGAATTCCCAAAGTCAAGGGCAAGTGAAACTAGAACAATTTCCGCACTATAACCAAAACCTTACAAAAGATATCCACATTTATTTATACTACTAATAAATGAAACGTTAAAAATATGTTATGCATTTGGCAAGTAGTTCTCACCTTTTACCGACGCATTCCATACTGATTCTTCACTAAAAGTATTGATCGAAAAACCTGATTTGGAGAGCATGTAACTTATGATTGTATAATGGTTGTCCCAAGTTCTTAGACCGGATTGAATGTTTTGCTTTGTGACATCAATACTGAGCTGCTCTTTCAGAGCAATAGTAGCAGCAGTCCAAGGAACCTGTTTCCATGCCAACTTGCCGTCAAGTCGGTTTCCCAAGTTCAGTGCTCCATTAACACAACAGACAATATACGATCCATCTCAACAGTCCATGTAAAGTATTTTGCTGACTTCCCTTTCTTGCTGCCCTCTCCGATTTCCATGCCAAGCAAATTTATTGTACAATATGCATACACACTCAACGAAGAATACTGGTTTTTCTCATGAATGTTTAAAGTAATTAATAATAAGTTACATGACAAGCCTAACATTCCTAGCATTAGAATAGTTGCCAGGATTCCTGAGAATCACACTGACAAAGATATAAACCTTAATTGAGTATTGAGATATTTTATCCACCAAATTATTTTCAAATGCCACAAGGACTGTTTACGAAGGATTAGAAGTCAATGTTCAGTGAGAAGAACACAAGGTGATGTTTTCAATGGTGAGTCCCAAGAAATGTTGAAGGTTCAGACTTCAGACGTCAGAAAAGTCATTTGGAGGAAGATTGCTACTAAATATACCACTCTGACACAACTCATCCTCCTACAAATAATAGGAGTTCTCAAAACAGCCCAAGATTCCTTCACTGGCTCAATCTTCCTCTTATTAGCATATACTTCTGAAATCACAACATCCTCAAGAGTGGTTCTCAAACTTCAGTCCCCAATCAAAATGAAATTTTGAACATTCTAGTGTTCCACATCAATGCTTCATGCATATTAAGATTGAACTTCAGAAATATTCAGTGATTTTAACTAGGCGCTCTTAATGAACAGCACCGCACCAGAAGCATATTAGTTATGGGAAGTTGGAATAAATCCCTTCACAGATAACCACTTGATAGAAAAGGTGCTCCACAGAGCTTCAACCACCAGCCTTATAAATTCTAATTATCATGTTATAGAAACAGATTCACACAAACAAAAAATAGAAGCATTCGCAAAATAAATTATCATGTAAAAACTTTTTGGATAGCGATCATCAAACACTCATTCTTTTATTTTATTTTTGTTTTGCTTTATTGGTAAGTAATGGAAAACATAGCATCCTAGCTTTACTATCAGTAATCAGGTTTCTCGAAACTGAAGTACGAACAGAAATACTACTTGCCACTACAAATAGCTAAAACTATAACAGAAATGAAGACTAAGCATAACAGATTCTGAGCATATGCGTGTGTGTGTGTAATTCAGCCCAAAGTATAAGATATGCATACAATAATTTAAGTTTCAAAGTAAAAGATAGAGGTCGAAATTTCTGTAAAATATTGTGAAAGTAATTTGTCACAATTAAAAAAGTAAATAAAAAAAAATAACCCATCCTAATAAAGATATAGAAACAAGAACCTTATTAAGAAGGTAGGATAAGAAGTTAGAATACAAAAAAGAATTAAATTGAAAAATGAATAATGAACAAAGCAGTATCAACTAATTACTCAACTGAGAGTGATAGATAGATAATGATGATGATGATATGAGTGTCAATCTATCTTGTCATCAGTACTGTTATAGGGTCACTAATAGGAAAGTCAACTTAATCACTGAGGGGTCCTAGATTAATGCCAACTGTATTTATTAAACTTGTATTATTAATTTATCCTCTTTACCCTCGCAACAGTGAGTAAGTGCATTAACAATCCTTTTTAATACACTTTGCTCACTTCAATAATTATTAAAGGATGCAAATCAAAGACCAAGGGCTCACTCCTTTGGCAAGCAAATATCATCACAATTCATATATACATTTCAAGACACTTCGAGAGGGTTGAAAAAAACTCTTCCATTTTAAGACACTTCAAAAGTGAGTAAGTTGTTGATTGGTTAAAGAAAAGTTTTGATCAAGCTTTTTACAATGGTGGATTTATTTATTGTCATATCTTTGAGATGATTTCAAATCCCTTGTGTCATATTACAAACTTTTTTGTTCATTTTCATATGTAATTTATGATGTCAGTATCCCCATTGTTAGTCAAACAATGAACACAATTACTTGAACGTTTCCTACAGTTAGGTGAACTGTGCCAGTTTACACTGTGAAGGTGCATTATAGAACACGCTCATAGTTAAACTGTTGGCCTAACAAGACAATTTTCAATTTAGTTCAATTTGAAAACTCATTTTGTTCAATTATAGGCTGCACAAGGAAAGTCCTGGGAGATCTGTTTGAGACATAGGTAAGCATG